GCGCACCCACACTCCCGCTGGTGAGACTCAATCCCTAGTCATTTTTCCAAAGTTTCACCTCTATGACCAGTTGAGCTACCTATGGTAATACAATTCATATTCGTACTACGATTGTACATTAAAATATGGTAATACAATTCCTAATATAATATATTCATTCCTACTTTCTTATTCCTAATACAATTCTAGATTAAAATTACTAATCTTAATAATAATAATCTATACTGTAAATAAAAGTAAAATCATCATCTTCAACTTTTCCGTTCAAACTAATATGAATATTAATTAATTGGTAAAAAAAATTAATAAATCTTAATTGGTAAAAAAATTTTATATGAAAATTAATTAATATCTAATGAATTATTACCACAAATTAAAGTCAATATATACTTAAAAATGAAAAATGATTACCCAATTCTAAGAATAATTAAACCATTATAATTGTGAGAATAACGGAAACAAATTCTGCGTAATAAATTAAAAAATTCATTGAAAATTCTGTGTAATTTTATAAGAAAATAATAATTTATTAATTATTATTCACAAATAATAATAATTTGAATATTGATTTTACACCAATAGTAATAATAATTTGATGATGGATTGTATCCTTTGTTGTTGAGTATTGTCTCATGCCTTTGTTGTGATCTCTTGATTGATCCTTATGATGTGATCTTGTGCAAGTCGTTGTACCCTTTGTTGATACTCGATTGGGTTATTGATGAGCCTCAATCTTCTTGATGATGATGATGACTGTGTGTGATTATGATTGAGATTGGTGGTAATATTATTGAGCTTTGCTCACGAGATCAGTGGTAATATTGTGACTTTACAGTACCCTCGTGTACTTTGGATCGGTGGTAATACGGTTCTGATTGGTGGTAAAGATTGGTGGGGGACGACGGTCCCAGGCGGAATAAGGTTGGACTCAGAAGTACAGGGTGGCACTAGGAGGTAAATGTTGGAACTGGTATAAGGTTGGGGGTAACCATAAGGTTGGAACTATGGAACTTGAAACATGAATGTGTCATTATGTGACTTGTTGTACTTCCTTGCTTATGCATGTCTTAATGTACTCTACCTTGTGAATGGTAGGTTGCATCCTGAGTTGTGTTGTCTATGATGTTTGTGGTCTTGTTGTTGTTGTGAGGTTGATGATCCTCGTTCTTATTGAGAGTGTGATGAGTCTTTGATGTTGACTTCCTTCCTTGGTTTTAAAATGATATATACTGTATTCCTCAGTTCCAAATGGCTTTGATTATATCTATCTATATTATGCTATTTAACGCGTATTGATGGGTTACCAGCATTATTCGCTGACCGGGTGTTATCCCTATGTTTTACAGGTCTTGAGTAGATGACGAGCGCGCCAGTCGATGTGATAGCTAGTGTAGTTCCCTCCATTTTAGTTGCTTTGTTTTGGGCCTGTGAGCCTTAGTTAGACGTGGCCTGTGTGCCTTAGACTTATAATGTTTTGATGGTTTGTTGTAGACTTAGCCTGTGCACCCATGGTTTATGGGTGTGGCATAACGCCTTCCGGTTTTTAATTAGCTTCCGTTTTTTATTGTTTTGATGTTTAGTCTTTATCTTTGAATTTAAGTTTTAAAAATGTTGGTAAAATCGGGGGGTGTTACAATTAGAATCCCATTGAGCCTCATTTTACTATTTTTTTTAATACAAAGAAGATGATGATTGCTTGATGAGGTGCAGTATTGTTTACATTTGGTATTACTTATTTGTCACTAACATTTTTTCTTTTTTTTTGTGTAACTTTATTTAGTTATTTGACTTTTCCTGTTGTTGGTTTTAGGATTTTTGGGCCCAGGAAGGTCCAACACAACCATGGTTGGTGGATTCACCTTTCACACAAAGCTAAATGATTTGCAAAAGAGATGACTATAACTCTTGGTATATTTCTGATGTCTCTCTGGGAATTCTCGACCATGAGGAACCTGCCTTTACATTCTAAAGGGGCCTCTTTTTATAGTGGGTTACCCCTTGTTTATCTTAACCGCATTAAAGCGCCATAATATAGCTTATTTAAGCCTAAGGGACGTTGGGCTGCCGTTATTGGGCCTCCCAACGGCTTATTTGACCAAGCTTTAAAGGAATCCTCTTAAATACCAGCGGTTATTTTCGCCAAGCCGACCTTCCTGCTTGTGCCGACTCCGTGCTCACGCCGACCGCCCACTCGCGTTAGCCCTTGGGCTTGTATATATTGACTCATGGGCTTCCCGCGGTTGGGCCCAACTTTCGCCCCTTCTTATCCTCTTTCTTCTTTGGGCCCTAGGCCCATTCGATCCGTACCCCATCACCTGCCTTTTAAAACTTTCTGGGTGGAGAGGGTGACTGAATGTCCTATTGGAACTTTAATTTGGAGCGAAACAAGTAATGTGATGCAAAGGATAGTGGATCTGTTAATCTATGTTGAGAAGTTGGATTGAAATTATTAATAAAATATTTTCAATTAAACATTGTTCCTATGATTGATAGTTGACATTTTACAGGCATTTGTCATTGATCATTTCAATATTTTTGTTATGTTTTATATTTATAATTTTAAAGTTGTGTGTTTTGTTTAAATTGTAAGATTGCATGGTTTTACATTACTTTGAAAAAAAAACTTTGAATATGTATTTGTTTTATTTGTTTATTCACACTCGTTCATATGTGAAATTATAGTTTAAAAATGAATATTACAAAAAATAATTATTAATTGAGAATAAAAATGACACGGGATTTAGGTCAATTGAAATAGAAAATGAATATTAATAATTGACTGAAAATTAATAATGATTCCAAACTGACTCAAATGCAAAAATATAAAAATAAAAATAAAAAAATGGTCAAACCTCTCAAACAATAGTATATGTAAATTGGTAAGGTATTTTGTTATTAATTATTTACTAGAAATATTTAAAAAAGAATTTGTTATTAATAATTAAGTGATTGACTAATTGATATGTATTTAAAAAGAATAATTGATTAAGAATAAAAATTGCACGAAAATTAGGTCAATTGAAAGATGAAGTGAATATTAATAATTGAGTGAAATTAAAAATGATTCAAAATTAACCAAAATAAAAAAAGTAAATGACAGACCGTCTAAACAATAATATATGTAAATTGATAAAGAAATCTATTATTAATATTTGACTGAAAATATTAAAAAAAATAATATGTTATTAATAATTAACTTTTTGATATATATATATATATATATATATATATATATATATATATATATACATACATATATATATATATATATATATATATATATATATATATATATATATATATATTGCAAAAAATAATTGACTGAGAATATAAATGACATGGAAATTAGGCCAATTGAAAAAAGAAATAAATATTAATAATTGTCTGAAAATTAAAAAAGATCTCCATATTAACTATTTCGAAAAGAAAATGGATTAACTATAGTATAGGTAAATTGAAAAAAAAGTATATGTTATTAATAATTGACTGGAAATATTTAAAATATATATTTTATTAATAATTAACTAATTAATATGTATTAAAAAAGAATAATTGACTAATAATAAAAATGGCACGGAAATTAGGCCAATTTGAAAAGGAAATGAATATTAATACTTGATTAAAAAATAAAAATGATCACAAACTGATTCAAATGAAAAAGAAAATGGCCAGACCGCCGAAACAATAGTATAGATAAATTGGAAAATGAATCTGTTATTAATAATTGACTGGAAATATTAAAAAAAATGATCTACTATTAATAATTAATTTATTGATATGTAGTAACAAAATAATAATTGATTGGGATAAAAAATGACACAAAAATTATGTCAATTGAAAAATGAAATGAATATTAATAATTGGCTGGAAATTAAAAATGATCCCCAATTAACTATTTGGAACAGGAAACTGATTAACTATAATACATGTATTATATCGGATACATATGGATCTGAACTCATTGATTTCCAGAGGAAACAATCATGCAATGGGCAAACTATTTTGAGAATACTTCACACAGAGAAGATTGTTACTATGTTATTGCATGACTATGTTAATTATATGTTAATTAAAAAAAGACGTGAATATTAATAATTGACTAAAAATTAAAAATGATCTCGATTAACTATTTCGAAAAGGAAACAGATTAACAATAGTATAGGTAAATTGGAAAAATAATCTATTATTAATAATTGACTGGAAATATTAAAAAATCTGTTATTAATAATTAACAAATTGATATGTATTAAAAAACTAGTATTTTATATGCGCGATGCGCAAAAAATATATGCCCAATATTAAAATTAAATATTAAAATCTTAGTTATATTAATTTTTTAAAAATAATAGTGTGTGTGGATGTATGTATATATATATATATATATACTAGTTTTTTACGCGCATTGCGCGATTGGGATAATGCCCAATGTTTTTTTTTTTTTGTAAATAAGTACTTTAAAGTATGTTAAGGCAAGATTATATTGAAATTGTTCATGCATAGATAATTGAAGGTTGAATTTGCGTATTTAAATAGGTAATTCTTCTCCCAAAGGTTGAGTCCCCTACCCCAAGGCCCCCCACACTCTGACCCGACAGAGCATTGTAGGAAGTTGTAAATCTGCACGGTGACTCAGTGGTTCAGCAGACAGGACCAAATGCCGGTGCGAACAAGGAATCTGCCCACTTTGGACATAATTCCCGCACTGCCGCCGCCGAGGTTCAAACCTTGGTCTCTTCTCCCAAATACTGCCCACTAAACCATTGAGCTAAGCCCGTGCGATTTAAATAGGTAATTCTAAGTTTACAAATGGGAAAAATCAACGATTTGGTCCCTCAATTGTTAGCGAAATATCAATGTAGTCCCTTAATCGCGAAATCATCGATTTAGTCCCTGGAAATAACTGTTTTTAGTTGATTTGGCCCCTCCGACCGTTCCCCGTTGAAAATCCGGTGAAGGCTCCAATTTGGCATGGGTAATTTAGTCTTTTCACACCATCTTCTTCATCCTCCCTGATTAAGTTTCACCGAAAAACGTTTGTCGGCCGGAAAATTGAGCCATGTCCATCTATCACGAAATATACCGCTGAGCTGATTTGCACTGGGTACGGTGGTCCGTCGGATCTGCTGGTGCACTGCCTGCCCGACCGGAATTGCTTCTTTACTTTCATTACACTCAGACCCCATAAATCTCCTCAGAAGTTGTGCAATTTCTCTTCTTCTCACTATACCATCATTATCACACCCCTTCTTCACCTTCCACCCAATCTTCCAATCCTCCACAATCTGCTTGCAGTTTGTGAACTGATCAAGAGCTATCGGAAAAGCAAGAAAAGGAACACCGGCGAACGCCCCTTCTTTGGTAGAGTTCCACCCACAATGCGACCAAAAGCCGCCAACAGAACGGTGGCGCAACACCCTCAGCTGATCACACCACGGCACTATTAACCCTTGCTCGCCACCACCGCCTCTCTCCCTCAGCCGCTCCGTGTTTTCACGTGCCACCCAGAAGAAACAAACTCCACTTTCACAGACGCCGGCGACGATCTCTTCCAACTGCCCAGCCGAAAGTGAGAGAAAGCTTCCCTGAGAAATATACAACACAGAATTCGCGGGTTGAGCATCAAGCCAGGTGAGGTAATCTGGGCAGCTAATTTCATCGCCATCGCCTTGGATAGGGAAGTAATAAGGTATTGCAGTGCCGATGGAATAGATAGGGGTTTTGAGTTTAGGTCTGAGAGCTTCAATAATGGAGGCAGATTCCAGCTCCGCCACGGAAGTGAACACAAGGTATTGCCCGCCGAGCGTGATAGATGGACTTGGCTCCAATTTCCAGCCGACGAACTTTTTCCGATGAAGCTTAGTCAAGGAGGATGAAGAAGATGGTGTGAAAAGACTAAATTACCCATGCCAAATCGGAGCCTTCGCCGGATTTTCAACGGGGAACGGTCGGAGGGGCCAAATCAACTAAAAACAGTTATTTCCTGGGACTAAATTGATGATTTCGTGATTAAAGGACTACATTGATATTTCGCTAACAATTGAGGGACCAAATCGTTGATTTTCCCTTTACAAATGCAAGATAATATAGTCAAGATTGATTATAATTGTCAATAAAATAATTGTATAGGTATGGTTGAAACCAAATACGGGACACAAGGGAGAACAAATAAAAATTAGGGCATAAAATATTAAATATATACTAATATTGTTTGAGGAGATTTCGACATTAGGATTTGTGGTTAAGTTCTATTAAGACTTTAATATTAGAATTAGATTAATGGTGTAATAATAATTCTATATTAGACGTTAATGTGGGGAGCCCTTAGGGTTGGGGTTCAGCCTTTTGGAATAATATTAGACGTTAATATTATAATTAGACTAACGGTGAATTAACGGTATTTAACGGAAAAGTTAAATGGATAATCATATAATTAAGGATAAATTAGAAAAATTTAAAAAAAAAAATTAAAACCTGAACAATTTGAACCATTCATTTGATTTAATAATTTGGCAGTCATTTTTTCTACCCAATGTTAATAATTAAATAATTCGTTGGTCAAATCCGCTAATATAATCCGCGCGCTAACTGCTGATTGTCAAACAAGGACATTGCAAGGTAGTTCTCACTTCAATTTGTTGTGTGATTTGAATACTCTCTTTGTCACAAAATCTCTCAAGTAGTTAATATGGTTGACTTTATTAATTATATATTTTTTTAATTTTTTCATGGTATTAATAAAATACTTGGTAAATAAATATATAGCATTATTTTGTATTATAACTTTGATATTTAATTAGAAAAATAGTGCACAAAAAAGATAATAGACAATGTAGTGAATATAATCAATTGATGAATTTGAATGTAAAAATTTTTACATTTGAGAAAAATAAAGACAATATAACTAATGAAAATATTTCTCTTAATTAATTTATTGATAATGAATAATTTTTTTTCACTGAATTAAGACATAGTAAGGACAATGTAGCGCATATAATCAATTAATAAATTTGAATATAAAGAATTTTTATATTGTAGAAAAATAAAGACAATATAATGAATATTTTTTTTCACTGAATTAAGACATTGTAAGGACAATGTAGCGAATATAATCAATTAATAAATTTGAATATAAAGAATTTTTATATTGTAGAAAAATAAAGACAATATAACTAATACAATTATTTCTCTTATTTAATTTATTGATAATGAATAATTTTTTTTTGAATAAAGGCATTGTGGACACATAATTCTAAATTAAATAAATGCATATCTATGATTTTTTGTTGTAGCTACTAAATTATTATTTATATAATTTAATAAGAGTAAAATAGAGTACTAATTATGCCAACTTTGATTGGGATAAGGTTCGAACCTAAGACCTTTTTTTTTTATTGAAATCAATGAGTAAGTTAACGGTGAACTAACGGCAATTCTTAAAATTTTAACGGAATTAGTAACGTTGTGTGGGTATTTTAGGAAATTTTAGTGAAAAATTTAAATCTTATTAATCTTTTAATCAATCTGAGCCATTCATTTGATTAAAATCTGTGACCGCCATTTTTTCTACCCATTATAGGCCTAACTCTCTTGGGCTCTTATTAGTATAGTAGATAGTATATATATATATATATATATATATATATAATTGTATAATTCATATTAATATTATTGAGGTAAGAATTATAGAAATGATAATTTACTAAATATAACTATGGTAACATTTTAATTAAAACCTAAATGAATTCAAACTTACCATTGAAGGATGTAAGAAAAAATATTGTGTATGCATGTATATGGTAATAATAATGTGGAAAGATAACAGAAGTTATAACGGCAGGGATATTTTTGTCTAAAAAATTATGTAGTACAGCTTTTATAGCACAAGGTACAAAAAAAATTAACGGAAAACATGGACATAAACCAGGGGTATAACCTGGATTGAAGCTTATTATGATTTTAGATAATTGACTATGATTAAAAATGACACATAAATTAGGCTAATTGAAAAAGGAAATTAATATTACTATTTGACTCAAAATTCTAAATGATCCCCGATAAACTATTTCAAAAAGAAAACGGATTAACTATAATATATGTATTATATGGGATACATATGAATCCGAGCTCATTGATTTCCCAGAGAAAATAGTAATGCAATGAGCAATGGTCAATTGTATGTGGCTTTTTCCTAATCACCAATTCTGATGGCCTGAAGGTGTTAGCTCTAGACGATGATTGACAAGATTCTGTTGCTACTACCAATGTTGTCTGCAAAGAGGTTTTCAATAATGTGTAGTTCCAGCTAGTGATATTATGTTTTCTTTTTATGCGAGGATGACAAAATTGGTATATATCTACACATAAATTATATATTCCATACAAATAAATTAGGATAGCAAATGATTTATATAACTGAATGGCTAGACAACAAGCAAATTTGTCACTTAATACAAATCATAAACACTGATATATAAAATCTCTAAATTTTCAGCACCGGATGCGTACATCTACACATTGGCTATTAATTGGACAATTATTTACTCGAACTCAAGCAATGATAACATTAGAAAATACAGTCGATACAACTCAATTCTTCAATTGCACTATATACTATTCGATGTTATAATTTATATAATTGTATATTTATCTAAATATTTTTAAAATATTATAACAAAATCCATTCCATGCATTGCACGGGTGAAAATACTAGTTTTATATACATATATATATATATATATATATATATATATATATATATATATATATATATATATATATATATATGTGTGTGTGTGTGTGTGTGTGTGTGTGTGTGTGTGTGTGTGTGTGTGTGTGTGTGTGTGTGTGTGTGTGTGTGTGTGTGTGTGTGTGTGTGGTTTCCCGTGCGGTTGGACGCACATTAAGCATTAAACGGATGCACTTTAAGTACACAACACACGTACATTAAGCACACAAACAAACCACCTTAAGAACACTAATCTCACGCATATTAAGCACAAAACTCACGCACCTTAAGCACAAAACTCATGCACCTTAAGTTTCAAGAACTACTCACATTAAGAACACAAATCTCACGCATATTAATTACAAAACTCACGCACCTTAAGCACAAAACTCATGCACCTTAAGTTTCAAGAAATACTCACATTAAGAACACAAATCTCACGCACATTAAGCACAAAACTCACGCACCTTAAGCATAAAACTCACGCACCTTAAACACAAAACTCATGCACCATAAGTTTCAACACTACTCACATTAAGTACACACCCACGCACCTTAAGCACAAGACTCACGCACCTTAAGTACAAAACTCACGCACATCAATCACCACACAATCGCACGGGAGACACTCAAGCGCACAAGAACTTAATTCTATATGTGTGTGTGTGTAATTTATTTATTTATATAGAGGAAAAAATGCAATTTTAGTTCATCAATTGTTCATTATTTGTGATTTTAGTCCTTAATTAATTTTTTACCATTGCATTATCCACCCTGACTCTTTAAAAGTTGCATTTTTTAACTCCTAGAGTAACAAAACTATTAAAGTCTATTAAAATTTCTCTTTTTGTTTTGTTTTTTTTTTTTTTGAAAAAAGAATCAAAATTTCATTAATTATATTGAAATTAGTATTAAGGAAGACAGGGGAACCATCAGTCCACAACGATCTTCTCACCCTAGCTCCTACGTCCCTTGCTAGGAGACAGACGGGGCAGTTTCTCATTCTATGAATGAACTCAACTACTTAACCACTAATTTCACGAATAAGCTGGTTACAAAAGTATTGTAAGACGGGACCAAAATAGGGTCGATCCAAACTTGTTCATATAACTATTCCCATATGGGGAGGTGGTGGTAGGGGTAAATTCACCACGAATTTTCCTAAAACCACTACGTACTGAGTAGTTACCACGAGGTCACCCTGCCAAAACCAATAATCCTTAAAATCTGGGTAATGGGAGTTTTGCAAATTAATATGGCGTCTCTTTCTTCAAATATGTTCCAAATAAAGTCATGATTCCACCTATGAGTTGATTGATCAATTAAATTTGCAACACAAATTAAAGATCCATTAGACTTAGTACCGGGACGGTTTGAATTTTGGGATTAGACTCATCGGGTAGCTAAGGGTGTTTCTATCTGGTGGTTGCACCATTACCTATACGTCTCCTACAACCACTACTAATTAATAAGATTCTGAGCAGGCAGAATACTTCTCCATACATAACTCGTATTGGGTCCCGTCTTGGCCTCCAAGAAGGAGGTTTTAGGATAATAACGAGCCTAGAAGACCTTGCAACTAAAGATTGAGGGTTTGTCAAGAAATGCCAACCTTGCTTCCCTAGTAGGACCAGATTAAATAAAAATTTTACTTAGTACATGAATATTTTAAAATTTTAATTATCTTTGTTCATTATAACATTGTCAGTTTTGGTATTTCATATGCAAAATATAGATTTGACAACATTCTTTCCTAAATTTTCCATTTTCAATTGTGGCATATCGTATCTATTTTCCATACATCTGGCAAAAAAAAATATTTTATCTGCAATACTTACTATTCACTAGTCAAACCAACTCTTTGTTCTTTGTTTATTTTCTTTATTATTTTTTACTTATTTTTAAATTTATTTTTTGTGTTTAATAGTACTTTTAGTATAATTTTTAAAAATATAAATTTTGTAATACATGAAAAATTGAATTAAAAATAACTTCAGTCAAGCCTCGTTAACCAAATCAGACATATAAAATACGACGGATGAAGTATATCAAAAGGAAAGAGATATCTAAACTAATATGGTTGGCGTGATGGTTCAGCACCTCGTCCCTTAAGCATAAGGTTGGAGATTCAACCCCCACCCATGTGAATGAAGCAACCCATTTAACCAGTTTTCTATCACTGAATGGAATTAATCTTTTGACTATCGGCCGGAGGGTACTTTTGGACAGCAACAAAAAAAAAAAGGAAGGACATACCCAACAACAAGCACTTATCTCAAGGGCTCAACTGCTCAAGGCAATGTCGCCTCCCAGCCGGATTACTCCTGCTTCATCCTCCCACAAAAAAATTGTGCAGGAAAAGCCTCCATTTTGGACAAAGCATTTCTACTCTTCCTTAATTATCGCTACCAGGTCGTCCATGCAGTGCGAAAAATTCTAGGTTTCTACTGTTATTGAAAATGCCATTTGGCCTTTTTGCCGCAATCCAGCTGGAAAGCTTTTAAATTCAACGAATTGAGTTGATGGAAACCTGAAGATGATTTTCAAATTGACATGTCTCAGTCTCGAGATATTAAGCTACACTAGATCGAGATGGACTAATACTTAGATCGAGATGGAAATATGAATTGAGAGTACATGTATGTAGAACTACTTACTATAGTTTTAAACACATTTTACAATGGGAAGAGCACCGTACCTACTATTTCGAATTGGCACGTCTCAGTCAAATGGCACACTACTATTTTGTGAATAAAATCATACGTAGTTATATTATTTATACAAATATCATCTTTTTTGTTATTTATTGAGTTAATTCCAGTAGAGATCTTTTATCTTTAGTGGTAATTTTAAATTTAGTTTGATTATTCATTTAACATCCTTGACTATTATTTTTTGGACACTTTTAGTTATTCTCATGACTTTTCATATTTTTAGTAAGGACATTTTAGTCTTTTCATATTTTTCTTTTGTTATTTTTTCGGTTTAATTGGTTTAGGATTTTAAGTAACCCCTGAATTTTAGTAATCATATTTTTCAACTGGTTTTTAGTAAAGTCCTAAACCAACTAAACCGGTTGAAACTGGAAAAATAACAAAAGAAAATATGAAGATACAAAAATGTTTTTACTAAAAATAGGAAAAATCATGAGAAAGACTAAAAATGTCTAAAAAATAATAGTCAGGGATATTAAATAGCAAAAACGATACTCTAAGACTAAATTTAAAATTGTCGCCAAAGATAAAGAACCTCTTATAACTCTTATTTATTTATAATATAAGAAACTAAGAATGGTGTTTTTCGGTATTGTAGAAATTTTCTTAATTTTAAATATTATCATTAGCTATTGTAATATTTTTTGCTTACTAGGCTTATTGGGAAAATTTTTAGCTTGTATACTTGTCAAAATTATATTTAAATTTTAAAATTTTGTCAATTTAATACCAAATATTGCATTTTGTGACATTATATATATAATTATATAATTATATTAGTTGGCACTAAAAATAATTGGAATAAGGGCCAAATAGACTATTCAACTACACACAATAATTCAATTAGGTCACTGAACCTAAAAAGCTAACAATTGGGTCCCTAAACTAACCAATTTCAAACAATTCTTTCAATTTGAAGGTTTCTAACAGATCAACAGGTCATCCTTCTAAATAAATTATTTTTAAAAAATAAATTTTTAAAATTAATTATTTAAATTAAAAAAAAAAAAAAGGACCGGCCAGAGACAACCGTCTCCGGCCGGTTTCTTCGTCTCCACTGCCGGAGACAAAGAAACTCTTCGTCTCCGGCCATGGAGACGAAGAGACTGGCCAGAGATGGTTGTCTCAGGCCGGAGTCTGTTTTTTTTTTTTTTTTTTAAATTTAAAAATAATTATTTTTTAAAATTTATTTTTTAAAAAATAATTAATTTGAGAGGATGACCTGTTGGAAACTTTGAAATTGGAAGAATTGTTTGAAATTGGTTAGTTTAGGGACATAATTGTTAATTTTTTCGATTTAGTGGCCTAATTATATTATCGTGTGTAGTTCGATGGCATATTTGAACCTTATTCCAAAATAATTTAACTAACCTGATTTAGGTATTAGTTGGTTTTATAGTGTTCAAAATTGATTTTACATATATGTGTGTGTAGAATAATTTTGAGAGCTTAATTTCAAATATTTAATTGTATAAAGCTAAAAATTTTGGTACATTATGTTTTTTTTTTTAACAATAATTTTATAGTTATAAATTTTTATACAATTTGTGTGTCAACTTGGCAAAGTCATATTATAATGAATTTTTCATGATTTGAATTTTATTATTGGATATAATTTTTTTCGTATTAAATTGAAAAACTTTAAAAGTTTGACTATAATTGTCATAAAATATACAGAGTACATGTTTAGTATTAAATTGTCGAAATTTAAAATTTTTAGTATAATTATTACAAGACATAAAGATTTGAATTTATTCACCAACAAGCCTTGTTTAATATTATATATAGCTTAATATTATAAATTTTAGGAAGTTTAGGTATCACCGCCTCTCGATCAATTGGTCAATAATACAGTACTATATAATTAATACTAATAAGTGTCCCGTGCGATGCACGAACTATTATTAATTTAACAAGTAAGTAAATTATATTGTTGGTCCTATGATTATAGGGGGTGTGTTAATTTCGCTCAATGACTTTTAAAACTAACAATTTAGTCCTTTAATTAGGCTTTTTTTTTAGCAAATTTAGTCCTTTTGGCCAAATTACCGGTGGAAATTGGCCGGAAAAACTTATACATTTTTAAATTTTTTATTCAAGATGGCAAAATAGTCTTTTTACGTAAGTTGTTTCTTCTTCTTCTTCGTGTTCATGAGTTACGGCTAACAGCTGTCTCTACTTCCAAGAAAGAACAACTCCAAGAATCGAAACCCCAGGTTCAGAAGCAATGTATGAATTTTATCTTAGCTTTTTCTTCATGTCTACTACGCATTTCTTGATTCATCTTCCACAGATCGCATAGTATAAAGCTCTATAAGAGATCTAAACTCCCAGAAATATTCTTCTTCCTATTCTAGCCACAACCATCCTCCCAATTCCAGTCACGACCAAAACATAATTGTAGTATTGGTTATGGTCCTGTGGATGATGGTTTATTTATAGTGTTGAAGTAGTTGTAGATGTTCGTGTAAATATTGATTATGAATTTTAAATCTATCTCCAATCAATTAATGTTAGAAACATAACATAATTATTGCAATGTTAATTCTTAATTATGGATCAACAATTATTACTCAAATTAATTTTGTGAATTAATCTCCTATCCACTAAAATCTTTTTGCTTATTATTCACTTTGATTTTCGTTTCATCTTTATTTAATTATTTGATGATTATGATTAGAAGAAAAATTTTCCTAATCATTTTGCTTTAATATATATATATATATATATATATATATATATATATATATATATATATATATATATATATATATAAAAGTGCGTTTGCACATATTTAATTCGCGTTCGCTCACACTTAATTTAATTTAGACCATTAAAAAATATTAAATGGATGCACACGATTTGTTCTCACGTTTTTCACCTAAGCAAGTGTTCTCATTGGAACCCTCTATATATATATATATATATATATATATACAGAAAATTGTCTATGTGTGTTTGGTTCATTTTCCGGAAAATGAGTAAAATTATATAATTAAAGACTTTAATTATTTTATTTAAAATATAAAAATCAAAATAAAATTGCTGGTAACAAACCAAAACAAAATCACAGCAAAATCTCTGGGCTTTCAAATTGGAATTAATCCATGCTCAACCACACTCAAATCAAAAAGCATACGACCCAGAAGCAATATAAGAAATAATCCAACCAGAAACAACAGAAACCACCGACCACAAAACCAGCAACCGTACGACGACCCAGAAACGGAAGAAACCATCGACCCGCCGGCAGAAACAGAAGTCACAGGCGAGCCGAGACGACCGCCATCACTGGTTTCTTTGTCTGCCTCCTTAGTTTGCCGGAAATCCGCCAGCTCCGCACCAACGTCCGGAACTAGAGAGGGTAAGGGAGTAGTCACAACGACGAGACATCTCCCGCCGTCGAGATCATCGTCAAAGGCGCCGGCGACAGAACTAGAGAGAGGGCAAGGAGAAAGAGTGAGAATCGTCGGCGACATCGTTTGCTGCATTTTGATGGGGAGGCGGAGCTTCAGACTTTAAAGTGAGAGAAGTAAAGAATGGAAAATGACTTCTCTAAAAAAAAAAAAGGAAGGGAGGGGGGGGGGGGGGAAGTCATTTTCTGAAAGAATTGACTCATTTTCCATTGACCTCTCATTTTTCAACCTAGCCAAACACCAGAAATCATTTACGGGTTTCCAAACACAACCGTATTAGTAAATAATATATTATATTGTCGTTGTTCATCAAATATTAAATATTAAGTTAGTTAATATAAAGTTAACTAGTTTGTACTTAGTAAAGCTTTGTCAAAGTTAAGGTTATGTTAAAATAATGTTGCTCTTTTTTCTATTTTGTTTTAAAAAGGGTGTCATGAAAGAAAAAATATATAATGAAATCAAAGTTAAAATAAAATAAAATAACAACAAAATTATTAATGAGTTGTTTTTTTTTTTGTTTTTTTTTTGACTTTATTTTTTAGTTGTTTTTTTTTTTTGTGCTGGGTAAATGGTTGTTAGCTGATTGAGTTAGTGAGTTTGACTATAGTTGATAACATTAACTAATTGTAGACAAGTGTTTGGTAAATTATCAATTAGGTGATAGCTGATTACATATAAAATGACTTTCTCAAAAAATTGATCGAAAAAGCTACATTGAGAAGTTTCTTGAATTTTAACATTTTGGAGCAATAAGTTGTTACAAAAAGTTAATTAATCAAACACTCATATTGATTGTTTAACCAAGTCAAACGGTTAATAGTGGTCAAATAAGTCAAAATTGTACTAAATATTGACTTATTAACCAATTTTGGTCTATTTAACCACTATTAGCTTTTTGGTAACATAGTTAGCTTATCAATAAATTTTTGTTTATTTGACCACTATTAGCTGTTGACTTGGTTAAACAATCAATACGGGTGTTTGATTAATTAGCTTTTTGTAACAACTTATTGTTTCAAAATGTTAAAATTCAAAAAACTGCTCAAAGTAGTTTTTTTCGATTAGCTTTATGAGAATGTCATTTTGCATGTAATCAACTATCAACTAATTTACTAAACACTTTTCTACAATTATCTAATGTTATCAACTAGTTAAAATCACTAACCCGATTAGCTAATATTTATTTACCAAATACCCCAAATCATAAATATGTTCCTTTATTCTAGTACCTGAGAGTAGGAGTGTAAACGAATCGAATCGAATCAAATATTTCAGTATTCGATTCGAATTCGAATATTCGTATTCATATTCGTTTAATATTCGAATCTAAAATTTGATTCGTATTCGATTCGACTAGTTTATTCGAATGTATTCGATTCAACTCGAATATTTGAATTCGAAATGCCTAATTTAATTTTTATAAAATTTTCTAATAAATTAAAATAAAATGTAATAAAAAATTATATTTAAATAATATAAAATATTCGAATACTATTTGAATCACATACACTCTAATTCGTATTTGAAAATATTCGAATCGAAAAAAAGTATTCGAATTCAGATTCGTATTCGAAATATTCACAAATCAAATTTTTTCTATTTGATTTGTTTACACCTCTACTTGAGAGTAAGAAAGCATAGCACAAAATATTTGATACAATCCTTTTGGGGGTTGGGGGAATTGAGAGGCGAATTGCGAAATGGGAAAACCCTAGGAAATTGATGATTGGCAAATGGCAAGAAGCAAAAGCGGCAAACACCAAAATCATAATTCCCTCCCAAAAGTCCCAATTCCCATTATTACCCCCAAAAGTAATCCATTTTCCAATCATGGCGCCCATTTTAATTCCCTCAAATAGTCTTATCCCACATTTTGGCGGGGTTAAACGGTCGGATCAAAAAATTTTGGAACGGGGGAGTTTCCGGTCATTTCTCACTCCCGCGCGCGCCTAGGGTTTTCGTATATCCCCTTATAAGCCCCCACCATATCCCTAATTTAGCTGTTATAGCATTCTAGATCAGCCTCGACTCTCTTCGCTCTGTCGGTTCTCTCTCATCCTCTCTGCAAGTCGGTGTCCGCAATCCTTACCCAAATCCCCCCGTCTGTCCTAAATTTTCTCTGATTCTCCCTGGGTTTTCATTTTCTTGGGTTTTTAGCTTCAGGGTAGCAGAGTTTAAGCTCTAGATTGTAGTGGTTTCTGCATTTTTGTATCTGGGTTCTGCTCAGTTCTTCCCAGGGTTTTGCTTTCTCCAGGTTACCTAGTGTGATTTTTGGTAGTTTGGGTGTGATCGGGTTGTTTCTTGGAGGAGCCGAGTTCGTGATTTGGCTTGGAAGACTAAATTTCGTCTGGGTTTGCTTCCAATCATCTAATCACCTGATCTAATGGCGGATCTTAGTGATCGAGTAAGTAACTCTTACCTTTATCTAGTTTATCCACTCGCTATTTGGTGTTGATTTTGGGTGATTGTAATCATTGCTTGATTTTATGTTCCCGATTCGATTTTTGAGTCCATTTTTGGGGTGATTTCAGGGATCAGAATCTGAAGAGATGAATAACCAAGCACAAACCCCTGACAGGGTATCTTCAGAGACAAGTGGGCAGATCAAGACGTGCGCTGATTGTGGAACCACCAAGACCCCTCTATGGAGAGGTGGCCCAGCCGGCCCCAAGGTCCGATCAGATCAGTTAACCAATCCCCCATTTTCCTAATCATTTCATTAATCTGATGTTTCTACTTTTGTACATGCAGTCGCTTTGCAATGCTTGTGGGATAAGGAGCAGGAAAAAGAGAAGAGCTCTTCTGGGTCTCAACAAAGATGACAAGAAACCCAAGAAGGCATCTGGGAACAAGAACACCATTGCAGCCCCTCAAAACAGTGGAACTACAAGCGATAGCGGGAGTAGCAGCGGTGGGAAGATCGGAGGAGTTCCACAGCCGGTGAGGAGAAAGTTGGTGCCTTTTGGAATTGGGAAACAAGTGGCGCTGCAGAGACCGAGATCGCAGCAGCAGAGGAGGAAGATTGGGGAAGTAGAGCGTGCGGCTTTTGTGTTGATGTCTCTGTCTTGTGGCTCTGTTTATGCTTAGGATTCAAGTGTATTAGTGAGTGTAGTTAGATGATGACTAGAAACCCCCCAAAAAAAAAACAAGGGCAAAAAGATCTCAAGTTGAGATGGCTCTTTCAAATGTATGAGATCCAATCATGTAATTCCCCAAGCTGATTAATTTATTGAAATTTATTTAGAGTTTGGTATCATCAGATTCGTAGGCAGAGAGGTGTTTTTGGCATTTCTTGATAAATTTATCAGTCAAAGAGTAAACTCTCCATGTTTACTTCTTAGTCACACGACCTATTATTTGTGTGATCAAATATGTTTTCAACCTTAAAAATATGGGGGATGATTGGAGGTTTTGGATAAGGTGTATGGGAATTCGGTTGATAGGCATAGGTTGATCCTTAGATCCCATCCCAACATGAAGAGGTACAGGTTGGAGGGGTTTGGTTGGACGTCTAGCAGTGTCCAGAAGTTGAGGACTTGATGGTTATAAAAGGGAATGGAGGAAACATGATCATTCTACGCCAAAATTCAAAAGGGACAATCAGAGGTGGAGGGAAAGGTGGCAATGGGGGCAGTTGTCCCCTCCGCGATTGTCTGTCAATATCATTAATTCTATTTTATTAGTATTAAAATTATAATTTGTGTGATATATTCGTAATTTTAATTGTATTTTTTATTAGGCCTGTGCACGGTTTGGGTTCGGACGGTTCGGTTTTCGGACTAGTTCATCCGATCGGATTTCGATTTTCTAAATCAAAGTCCTATCCGACTATTTTTGTACTATACTCCATTCGGGTTTTTTTTATTCGGATTTCGGACGGTTCGGATATCGGTTCGGGTAACTTCGGATTTTATATTCAACAAATTAAAAAAAAATAACAAAAATTCCATATCATTTATGTCAAAGTACTTAGTTACAACTACTTACAAATGACAAAAATGCAAAATGCTTTACAAAGTCATTGAATCATACATTCTGACATTCATACTCATACATGAATCATGATAAACTGATAAATGATAATGACAAAAAATTCAAATATCAGCATTCAGCAAATTGCACCAATCAACATCTTCCCGTGAACAAAAATACCATAATCATAATGTCTAATTGTCTATTCAGCCTTCAGCAGTTCAGCTTTCATGATCTTCCTGTACAAGTGTGTGTAAAGACAAAACACAAGTTAAGTATAACCAATTAAATAGTTTGGGAATTGGGGCTGTTGGGCAGAAAAATTTAACTATAGAAGGCTCAGATTGCTATGTTTTCATGTCAAAGTAAGAGTGGGGGCAAATTGCTACTTTTAGTATTGGAATGCAATTATGCAAACCAAAACTAATGAGCAACATACCAACCCAAAACCATTTCAGACAATGGTGGAAGCATCATCATAGCCAAATCAGTAAAGACTAAAGAGAAATAACATACTGAGCACTTGAGAATAAGGGACTAAGGTAGAGTGACTGTTATTACCAGATGAGATGACATTCATATAGGCAGTAGGCTGATACAGTTATATTCACTCATACCTGATGGGGTCATACTTATCATAGGCAGCAACAAATCCAACAATTGAATTGTTAGTTAGTTACCAAGCCATTAATCCATAGACAGCAACAAATCCAACAAATCCAACAATTGAAAATAAAATCAGAATTAAGTGTAAATAAAACATTACAGGAATGGTAGGAAGGGGAAAACTAGCAGCACCAGATCCTGTGGTTCCAAATCGACTTACTCCAGTAGCCAAGTCTGCAAAGTGCAAAGTGCAAATAGAAACAAATAAATTAGAATTTGAATCCAAAGTTAAAAAGGTAAAAACAGAATGAAAAATTTAAATAAATTACCTTGTTCAAGCTTTTCAACATCACCAATATTTTCCTCAACCTTAACTTGTTGATTTGGTAACCTCATCTAGTCTTGTGCACATACTAAGGCCTCCACAATTTTAGGAGTTAAAGAACTCCTAAATGCATCTAATACCCTCCCACTAGTACTAAATGTACTTTTTGAGGCAACAGTGGAAATAGGAACTGCTAGGATATCCCTTACCATTTTGGAGAGAGTAGGAAACCTCTCACTATTTAGCTTCCACCACCTAAGGATATCAAAGTCAGGAGTGTCCACCACAATTTTTTCACTTAAATAGACTTGAAGTTCTGTTTCTTTATAGCTTCCACTAGCCTCCATTTTTTGCATTTTTAGTTTGTTCTTTAACATATTTTGAGGTCTACCAATTGTGGTATGAGACTGGACAGGAGGCACATCTGGTTGGCTACCAGAAGATGATTGTTGCACATTGACAGAGTAGGTTGCTGCATAATCACCAAACAATTCTACCATGGCAGCTTGAACATTGTCTAAACACTTCTTCCCATTATCTTTACCATACAGTTCCTCAAACTGGTATGACATATATTCCAACTTATCTCTTGGGTCCAAGATATTGACAAAGAAGATCAAAGAATTCATTTTTTCAGGATCTCCCAAATACTTTTCAAATTTACTTTTCATTTGGGATCCCATAACCTAAGAAAACAATGAATTAAATACAAATAGGCATACACAAATTCATAAATAATCAGATTAACCACTGAAAATGATAAAATCATTACCTCTGTAGCACTACCAGCAACAATCATGCTACTCAACATGCAACTCAAATAAGATATCTCACTGAAGAAACTGTTAGAGGTGACATATAGAGAACCAGAGATTCTAATTGTCATCTCATAAAACCCTTTCAACAGAACTACCAAGCATTCAACAGATGTCCAGTCAAGAAAAAAAAGGGACAGAATCACCTAGATCAGCAACAAATGAGGGCTCATTCAATGAATATGCATCAAACACAGCCTTGTATTGTATGGCAGTGCTAAGCATCATGTAGGTGTTGTTCCATCTTGTTGGAACATCTAGTTGTAAAGAACTTTTGGCTTCCAACCCAAGCAGTTCTGCAAGATCTCTGAATTTTTTGAGTCTTGCAGGTGAGTTCCTCATCCATCTAACAGAATCACTCACCTTCTTAACAGAACTATCTGCAAACCTTAACCCATCCTGGACCACCAAATTTAAAATGTGGGTTGTGCACTTCATGTGAATGTACTTACTCCTAACACTGGTTGCACCCCATGACAACAATTTGGACTTAAAAAAACCCACCACTACTAGAAGAACAATTTGCTTCCACCACTTAGACTCTCAGAGACAGAGAGTAAGAGATTAGAGATTAGAGATTGCAACACTTCGATTCTGAGAAGCCTGAGATTAGACAATAGAGATTAAGAGATTAGAGATTACAGATTAGAGAGTAAGAGATTAGAGATTAGAGAAATAGAGAGTAAGATATTAGAGCTTAGTAGCTTACAGATTTACAGAATCGGAGATGAGTCTTGAGAGAACTGAGACTCTGAGAGAGTGAGAGTCGAGAGATGAGATCTCAAACCCTAGGTCAGCTGCGCAGATGGGAGAATGAAGACTAAGTTGGTGGAAGGCATGTATATATACCTTGATGGAACGACGCCGTTTAGTACATAGCCTTTGTGAACCCTAGGATAGTTCGGATATTCGGACGGATCGGTTGGAAAAATAGCATACCCCACCCGAACCCTCTTAACTGACGACATTTTGAATAGCAGATCGGGTATGGAGAGTCGGGTTCGGGTAGTGCCGGGTTGGTCTCTCTCGGTCGTCGAGTCGGTCAGTTTGCTCGGGTGGGTCGGGTTGTGCACAGGTCTATTTTTGATAATTTCTTTGATATCAATTGTGAGAATTTTTAATGGATCGAACAATCGGAATGATATTGAAAAATCGGGTTAGAATATAATAATGAGTTAACACTTGATTTGGTTATTCGACTATTAAGATTTTACAGTATTACTTTGGTCCTTGCTTTCAAACTTGTTCAATTTAATCCTCACCTATGTAATTTTTATCTAAAATAGTCTTTTGTTCAAACCACAATAGTCTTGATTAGGACTATTTTGATTAACAATTGCATAGTTGGGATGAAATTGAGCAAGTTTGGAAGTCGAGAACCAAAGTGGTGAAATCTTAATAATCGATAGACCAAATCGGGTATTAACTTATATAAATAATATATTGATAAGAGTTCAAATCTTGAGGTATACTAATTGAACTTAGAGCATCCCCATCTATAGATTTTGGGTAGGTTTTTAGAAAAGCTAGCTTATGTGGAGGAGAGAGGGTGAGGAGAGAGAAAAAAACCTTCACATAAGACGTTGATTTTTGGCAGACTTGTGGGACCCACCAGGTTTTCTGATTTTTGCGCACTGGTAGCGTAAAACGCAACCCACCAGATCTAAGCGCGTTAATGACGCAAAGCAGTTTTTGTTTGTTTGTTTTGTTTTTGTTTTTTTTAATTTTTGTTTTTATTTTTTTTTCTCTTTCCTCCCATATTCTCTTTCCTAATCATACCTGCAAAAACTCCTCAAATTTACTACAACTATTGAGGATGCTCTTACAAGGAAACAATAAAGGCCTAATGACCTAGTCTACTGGCCTAACCAATAAACCAAGGGTCGTTATATCGTGGATCGCGGTGCACATGGACTGCGGTCAAAACGGCGCCGTTAGTGTTAACGAAGCGCGCATTTTTTGTATGTTAATTACCAATTGACACTACAATGTATCTAAACTGACACTACAGTATATTTAAACCGACACTGCCTCACGTATTATTTTTATATTATCAAATGAAACTGCAGTTATATCAAAATGATACTGTAGTTGTGGTGAAATGAAACTGCAGTGTATATAAAATGAAACTGAATAACATTTCACATATTTGAGTGTATATTATACAATAAAGCTGTAATTATATCAAAATGATCATATAGTTGTGTTTTAATAAAACTATAGTGTATAACAATTAACAAATAAAATTAAATAAAATTTTCACATATTTGAGTTTATAAATATCGAATGAAACTGTAGTTATATCGGAATGAAACTGTAGTTGTGTTGAACTGAAACTGCAGTGCATACAAAATGAAACTGAATAACAGAGTTAACTTTTTGCGGAAGGGTGCGGAACGACGGGAAACGGATGCAGTTTCTTTTCATTAAACAAAACGACGTCGTTTTGATGCGCGGTGCATAATCGATTATGCACTGCGGTACACGATATAATTGCCATAGACCAACTGACTAGCTGGGGGCAAATTATTGTGGATCATGGTCTACATTGTGCTACAACTCATAAAAAAGTACATTTTAATATACTAAAAAGTACATTCAAATAATTTACTTTATGTACACAAATAATGTACTTTTTATTTATGGTCCACACAACTATGTTTGCTACTTGGGAAGCTAATTGGGGCAAATTATTATGTGGACTAAAAAAGTAAATTTGTAATATACTAAAAATATATTATTTGTGTACTGAATGTACATTATATTTCTTGAATGTTACTAGCTCTATTACAATGTAGTATCTGTTCATATACTTTCTCAACCTACTGAAACACAAAGAGCTAATAACGCCTCCACTGAGGCTTGAACTCACAATCTTCCAAATGGAAGTCTAACCCGGGTACCATTAGACCACATAGTCCTGGTGAATGTACATTATATAAAATAGTATACTTTCCTTAAATACAAAATATATTTTTAATATACTAAAAGTACATAGTATACAAAATAATATATATATATATATATATATATATATATATATATATATATATATATATATATATATATATGGTTAACCGAAGTTCCGAACCGAATTAACTGTTAACCGAAATTTTGAAAAATCATTAACCATTAACCGAACTGAAAAAGTTCGATTAAAAAACGGCTAATCAAACTTTGTCGATTCGGTCGGTTAATCAAAAATTTACCGAAGTTTGCACACTTCTATGTATTTTGACTTAGAAACACAATTTATATTATAGAAGTTCACAATTCCAATACTAAAATACACAATTTATACGTCGTTTATAACCAGGGTCCACCTTACAATGTGGACCCTGATCCATGATATAATAACTTTTCAATTTGTTTACAGGTACATAAATTATTAACTACAGATACAGAATGTGTTAGTTACAAACATATAATTTTTGGATCAAGATTCACAATACAATATGAACCCTGGTCCATGGTATAACAATTGGTTTATGAATTTGGTGATAAATGTGACAGGCCATGACCCAATTGAAGCCCACCTAGAGTACATATTGGGTCTTAAGTTATTGTTAAATGTTAACAAGCCATGACCCAATTGATAGCCCAAAATCAGTAATTTGTGTCAACATTCAAATCCAGTACGCAAACTCCAAGTAGGAAAGCATCACCATTTCATACCCGACACGTGCACCATCGTCTTCCCACACCCTCTCTATAAATATCCCTTGAGCCTACTCTCTTTCATTCCCACAAAACCCTCATACTCCTCACCGGACTCCGTTCACAGTCGGGGGGAATAACGCGTTGATCGAAAACCTAGTTTCGCGAACTTCAGATCTTTCCTGATATCAAGGTGCTTTCAACAATTTTATGTTACTTCGTTTTATTTTTATGAATTTTTGTTAGATTTTATTTTTATGATTTGCGATTTTGATTTGATAGATGGTGTCGGACGCTAGCAAGAAAAGAGGATTGCAGAAGAAGGCAGCTGCCGCTGCCAAGAGAGGCCGCAAAGCTGCGGCGGCTGCCGCGTCGTCTAAGGCTGCGGCGGCATCTGCTGCGGAGAATAGTAGCGTCGATAATTTGGCGAACGGAGTCGGGGAGCTTCTGATATCCGATCGGACGTGCACTGGGGTTCTGTGTTCGCATCCTCTGTCTAGAGATATTCGGGTCAGTTTTCTGATCCATTTTTAGCCTCCAAAGATCGCGGACGGGTTGTTATCTCAGGATTCATATGTGTTTGCCTTGTTATATTTGTTATATTTGTCTGTATTCAGTTTCCTGTTTTCACGTGGATTTAGTTGCTTTATGATTTGAGTCAGAAAAGGACAGTCATCTGAAATCTAGACAAAATGTATTAGAGTAATTGTTTTTTTTTTTTTTTTTGGTTGTTTATACCAGAAATGGAAATGTAGAGTTTTTGAATTTATAGTGGCCATGATGAGGTACAGTAGTGTAGGGGGAAAAGTTAGATTTTTAAAGTTGTTAGAGGAGATGAGAAACCCTAGTTTACTAGGTTTATACTGTAGTCTGCTCAAATTGTACCTAATAGTTGCATGGTGAAGAAAAAATGTTGATGGTTAAATAAATCACGATTCCAATTCTAGTATTCTGTTTAATAAATTTTAGAACCTTGTCCAATGATGTTCTGTTTTAGTTTTAACCTGGAGTGTAGCTGATATCGTAGTGGTAGTGATTGTAATGTCCTGGGAACACTGCATAGAAACTACTATTTCTCTAGTGTTCATATTGAGTGTGACAAGTGGCAACATCCTTGCCTTTTAGTTTTCTTACAGTTTTGTTCACTTGTTCCTATGATGGGATTAGTGGGCTTGATCTCCCCCTTCTTCCTGGTATCACTTCATAGTGTCTATGCTCACATATATGTTCAGATGCCTCCTGCTTCTGATTTTATCTAATGATATGTTTAACAACCTTTTTGCCATTCCAGATTGAGTCTTTGTCCCTTACTTTCCATGGGCATGATCTTATAGTTGATTCTGAACTGGAACTCAACTATGGAAGGTATGTACTTAGTTTTGGCCTTTTTTTTTTGGTATGTTAGGAAAGCTTTTTCATGCCAGAGTTAAACCGAGATATTAACATATCATCATTGCAGACGTTATGGATTATTGGGATTGAATGGTTGTGGTAAATCCACTCTTCTCACTGCAATAGGATGCCGGGAACTACCCATTCCAGATCATATGGATATTTATCACCTTTCTCGTGAGATTGAAGCTTCTGACATGTCTTCACTTCAGGCTGTCATAAGTTGTGACGAGGAAAGGTTAAAATTGGAGAAAGAAGTTGAAGCCTTGGCTGGACAAGTATGGTGCTATTCTGACAAAAATGGAATTGATCAGTTTGATATTTTTATTTTATTATGATCTGTAGTGTAACACATTCTTACTTCAGGATGGTGGTGGGGAACAACTTGATCGTATATATGAGCGATTGGAAGCTATGGATGCATCTACTGCAGAGAAGCGTGCCGCTGAGATTTTATATGGTCTTGGTTTTAATAAGAAGATGCAGGAAAAGAAAACAAGGGACTTTTCAGGAGGATGGCGAATGAGAATAGCCCTTGCACGGGCCCTATTTATGAATCCAACTGTATTGTTACTTGATGAACCCACAAATCATCTTGGTAAGTTCACATAGCCTTTAGTACTGAAATGAACTGTATCTGAATTTAAATATCTGCATTTCTTAGAAATTCTCTTTTCTATGTGCTGTCACAAAATGAGGATACTATTTTAAATGCCCTGTTTCTGTAAATGCATATTCTCTTCTCAGAAAAGAAAAATTATTTTAGGCATCAATTTTAAATGAATTAAGTTCTAATATAAGTTGTAAACTTAACCTGGGTCAACATTCTACATGTGTTATTATGCTGTTGCTTCCTTTGTGTACTTGCACAGTTGCACCTGTGAAGATTTCTTGTTTTGGAGTCAATGCCAACGATAATACTAACAAATGGTTTCTTTTCCCAATGCAGACTTGGAAGCTTGTGTGTGGTTAGAAGAAACTTTGAAGAATTTTGATCGGATTTTGGTGGTTGTATCACACTCGCAAGATTTTTTGAATGGTGTCTGCACCAACATCATTCACACGCAGAGTAAGAAGTTGAAGATGTATACTGGTAATTTTGACCAATATGTTCAAACTCGTTCTGAACTTGAAGAGAACCAAATGAAGCAGTATAAGTGGGAGCAGGAACAGATTTCTTCAATGAAGGAGTATATTGCTCGTTTCGGACATGGGTCAGCCAAACTGGCTCGTCAGGCACAGAGCAAAGAGAAAACATTGGCCAAGATGGAGAGAGGTGGTCTTACTGAGAAAGTGGCGAGGGATAAGGTCCTTGTTTTCCGATTTTCAGATGTTGGGAAGCTCCCCCCACCTGTTTTGCAGTTTGTGGAAGTCAAATTTGGCTATACACCTGATAACCTCATCTATAAGAATCTTGATTTTGGTGTGGACCTGGATTCAAGGGTGGCACTGGTTGGCCCTAATGGAGCCGGGAAGAGCACATTGCTTAAACTTATGATGGGGGAGTTAGTTCCGACTGATGGTATGGTCCGACGCCATAATCATCTTAAAATTGCACAGTATCATCAACACTTGGCTGAGAAACTCGACATGGAAATGTCTGCCCTTCTGTACATGATCAGAGAGTATCCTGGCAATGAGGAAGAGAAAATGAGGGCAGCAATTGGTAGGTTTGGTCTGACTGGTAAAGCTCAGATAATGCCTATGAAGAACTTGTCGGATGGGCAACGCAGCCGGGTGGTATTTGCATGGTTAGCTTTTAGGCAGCCTCACATGCTACTGCTGGACGAGCCAACCAACCATTTGGATATTGAGACTATTGACTCACTGGCGGAAGCTTTGAATGAGTGGGATGGGGGTATGGTTCTTGTTAGCCATGATTTTAGGCTCATCAACCAGGTTGCCCATGAAATCTGGGTATGTGAGAACCAGGCGGTGACCAGATGGGAGGGCGATATTATGGGGTTCAAGGAGCACTTGAAACGCAAGGCCGGTTTAGGTGAGTGAAGGATGGAATGGTAGTTAAGAATTTTGTTTGAGGAGGGCAGGAGGCAGCAACTTATAAATTATGAGGAAAAGGAGGAGGATCCACTTCATTACTTTTCCACTCACCAGATAGACAGTTGTTGATTTAGTTAGTATCCTATCTATCCCTTCATTTCTATTTCTATTTTAGTTTGAAGTAAGTAGTTAAGTACGACCTGCACTCTGCACTCCCTGCCTGCCTGCCATAGAGATCAGATTGCAACACACGCTCATTTCAGCTACCTTTACTTTTCTCGGTAGCATTTCTTATTCGTTTCACTCTTTTGTGTTGTACTCCAAATATCATAATACTATAATTCTTCTTTTGTATTGTATGGATTACTGAAGGAGTGAACTCGGTTTCAACATTTTCTGAGTTATGTACTGTAATTCGTCTTCTGTACTTTACTTTTGTCTATATGTTGTATTGCTGTGTGTCAGTGCGTGTGTGTATATATATATATATATAGAAAGGGGAGGGTTTTAATGTAATTTAGACTATTAAAAATATTAGATGGATGCATACGATTTGTTCTCACGTTCTCACCTAAGCAAGTATTCTCATATGACCTTAAATCTGGGCTAATTTTCTGGTGCATACCAATCTTAAAGTGTGAACGGGAAAATGACTGAAATGTGATTGTAGAAGCATACATTTCTCAAAATGTGACTCTGCTAAAAGTTGGACAAAAATATGAAAAGCACATTTGGGAGATGCGTTTGATGTTAGAATTGGTCAAATAAAAAACGTAAGTCCCAATTGCGTTTTGTTTTTTTTTTTTTTTAATGGTCCAATCTGTCTATGTGCATCAAATCCAAATGCTCGAGAAGCTAGTTGCAGTCGATAAAGCATCTTCTCCGTGGCAACACCCGTCATCGATTTCTCCAGTGAATTTTTTAATGGTCCAATCTGTCTATGTGCATCAAATCCAAATGCTCGAGAAGCTAGTTGCAGTCGATAAAGCATCTTCTCCGTGGCAACACCCGTCATCGATTTCTCCAGTGAATTGAAGGAGAAGGCCACTGGTTGCAAATTTGACACCAAATACTACCAAATAAATGTAAAAGCAATGAACAACATGAAAGGGAACGGGAAAGGATCACAAGCATGGCAAAGAAACAAAGGAGGAGACCACGGTCTTTCCTGTGGCCCTTTGGTTCGTCTCGCTCTCATGCACGCCATACTGCAGTTGCAGTGCCTGAAACCAACATAGATACCAGCCAGGAATATAGTCATTATAGCGAGTACTCTAATTGGCCATTTGAATAGCTAGCAAGGTTGGTCAGCATCAAACTTTCTTATATACTGCATTCAATTCTTTGTTGTGATAATAATATTATACCTTTAGTCGAACGAAGTCTCTAATGGTAGAGACAACTCTCCTTGTTCCCATGCTGTCAATGGATACATGTGTTTTCTTTTTTTTTTTTTTTTTTTTTTTTTTTTTTTTTTTTGTCATTTAATCTTGATTCCCAGTAAATTAATTAAATTAAACTCATACTTGTTTGGTGCTTTCATCCATGGCCTCCTTTGTTTCTTTGCCATGCTTGTGATCCTTTCCCTTTCCCTTTCATGTTGTTCATTGCTTTTACATTTATTTGGTAGTATTTGGTGTCAAATTTGCAACTAGTGGCCTTCTCCTTCACGGGAGAAACTGGTGACCTTCGCTGGAGAAATCGGCGACCGGTGTTGCCGGCGGAGAAGCCGCTTTATCGACTGCAACTTCTCGAGCATTTGGATTTGATGCACATAGATAGATTGGAATATCTGGAAAAACTGAAAGGATCTTCATCAGCGGCTTTGTAGCTCTTCTCGAATTGCCGGAGAGCACCATGAATCAAGAGTTGGGTGTTGCTGGTTGCCGGCGACCATTAAAAAAAAAAACAAAACAAAACAAAACGCAAGTGGGACTTGCGTTTTTCATTTGACCAATTCTGACATCAAACGCATCTCCCAAACGTGCTTTTCATATTTTTGTCCAACTTTTAGCAGAGTCACATTTTGAGAAATGTATGCTTCTACCTTCACATTTCAGTCATTTTCCCAAGTGTGAACTAGTGCACTCATTTGGTGCATTGATTTTGTGCATCCGACGGCCCTAAATAATCCTCATTTCCCTTACGGTGCACCGGCACGTAGACTGCACTTGGGGCATTTTTGGGAATTGCATTTCAGATACGTCTCTTCGCTGATTGTTTTTCGGTGAACCCGGCGGTGATTCATTGGACTATGGTGCAACATCGTAAAGGCGGATACGCACGACGGTGGACTTCAGGCGGGTGGTGCGGCGACTCACGCGCGTGTTCACAGGTTTCATTCCCCCTTATTTTTTTTTTCCGTTGCACTTGGTGACACCGATCGTGTCTGCCGACCGCACCAGTCCCAGTGTGGTTTTAGCCTTGGACTAGCCCCCGTTTTCCTTGCGCGGAACATTGTGTATTCTTAGTGCACCTACGGCAGTGGCTAAGGCGGCGGTCCTTACACATGGCGCCTGGTGTGGCAGTCGCACTAAAACCAGAGTGACTCGGCCATAACCAGTTGCCGCCGTGTTCTCCCCGCACGGTGTTGCGCTCATGGGTGCGTTCCAATCGGCGAGTAAGTCTCAGGATTGGAGTCCGGTAGCGGCGCCCAAGAAAGCATGCGAACCAGTATGGGGTGTGTGGTGCTATTTGCTTTAACGCTGGGTTTGTGCGTTTGGTATGCTGACAAAAGCATTCCAGAATTGTTGCCCCCCAGTAGTGGACAACTGGAACTACAAGTGAAGCTCCAGCCACCATGCAGTTAAAAGCTATATATGCTAAAGTATACCTTTGGAAATGCATTTCTCATGGATGACCGGATACAGTGGTGGACTCGATTACATGTAGTGACATTTGATAAAGCATTAGAAATCCAATAAAAAAAAAATATACCCCATATACATGTACCTGTGTGGTATGTACTTTAGGGAGCTGTAAATGATATATACTCCCATTGAGATGTCACTCATGTAAAACTTAGGTTCTACTTTCCCATCATTTTTTTTAATTATTTTTTTAATAAATGGTCACAGATGTCTTCGTTAATTCATTATGCTCTGCTTAAGAGGATTTTTTCTTTATTTTTTTTTTTCAACTTTGCTTGCAAGTTGCAGTTCTTGGTGTTGGCTCACAACATTTTCATCTATTACCGCAGGGCCTAATGACGGGGAGGTGCGCAAATTATGCCATGGAATCGTGTTTACCGAGAATGGTGAATACAAGGCAAAACGACGTCGTTTTTAGGTAAAAAAAAATAATTTCGCAGATGTGGAGTTAACGGCGCGCGTTTGATCAAATTATGAATTTTCTGTAAATTCATAATCTCATAACAAAAAATTCATAATCGCATAACAGAAAATTCATAATCTCACAACTGAAAATTCATAATCTCATAACAGAAAATTCATAATCTTATAACAGAAAATTCATAATCTCATGGTTCCAAAGTGAATGTGTAGGCATGGTTCCAAAGTGAATGTGCACGCATGGATTCATAATTTATGAATGTCCGTGATTTCGGACGGGAATATGTAGGCATGGTTCCAAAGTGAATGTGCAGGCATGAATTCATAATTTATGAATGTCCGAAATTATGAATGTAATGAAAATTCATAATCTCATAACAGAAAATTCATAATCGCATAACAGAAAATTCATAATCTCATAACTGAAAATTCATAATCTCATAACAGAAAATTCATAATCTTATAACAGAAAATTCATAATCTCATGGTTCCAAAGTGAATGTGTAGTCATGGTTCCAAAGTGAATGTGCAGGCATGGATTCATAATTTATGAATGTCCGTGATTTCGGACGGAAATGTGTAGGCATGGTTCCAAAGTGAATGTGCAGGCATGAATTCATAATTTATGAATGTCCGAAATCTTTGTTCACCTCAAATTAAAGTGAAACCGCAAAATGTGAAAATAAAGAAGAAAAGTCACGCAATTAATTAAAAAAAAAAAAAAAGATAACGGTGTACTAACACCGTTGGAACCGTGTTCACCATGAATGGTGAACACGGTTCCATGGCATAACGTCTGCGGGGAGGTGACAGGGGATGTAATGCGTTGCACGATGGGGTTACCTACTGCATTTGTAAAATACTGAAAGCCTGATGTGGATGCTGAAATTTTGCCTGTAGTTGGGCGCTATTTTAAATCACTAGTGGAAGGAATTCAATTTTACGGGAAAAAAGACTATAATAGGACAAAGGGGTGGTCCATTTCCTAAAATAGGACACTTGTTTTTTTGGACTAAAATGTGAAAAAAACGTTTGGGACATGCGTTTTTGGCATGTCCCCGTTTTTTTTAAATTTTTTTTTTTAATTTTTTTATACTTTAGCAAAGACGCATTTGGGAATTGCGACTTTGGTATTGTATACGGCCGTCGCAATTCCCAAATGCGATATCTGTATTTCGTTAGCATACGTTAAAACGCATCTCGTAAATGCGTTTGAAGTATTATACGCCCAACGCATGTACGTGATGCGTTTTAATCGCCGGTCACCCGCCGGAGAATACTCGCGAGAAGACGCGTTTGGGACTTGCGGTTTGGATGAAGCGCATGTTCCAGATGCGTTTTAGCAAAAGGCAGAATATTGCGTTTTTATTGTCAGCAACGTCTAGCAATGTCAGCAACAGCTAGGTAGGTCTAGTCAATTTTCAGAGTGTGGTGGTCAGACACAGTTCGCAAATGGAAATGCGATTAAAGTTAAATCGCATGTACCAATTGCGATTTAGTAGAGGATGCTTCAGATCTGTTTTTTTCTGGAAGCATGCCTATAAATATTTGTTTACATAGCGAGAAACTATGATATATACATGAAACTCTATTTTTTAGACACTCAGAATAACATTACTACTTTTACTTTCTATTCTCTAGGCAAATGACAATTTTGGCTGCCATTTTTGAAGTATCTCATATCCCCTACCCTCATGTAACCCCCCTGCGCAATATTCTGCCTTTTGCTAAAACGCATCTGGAACATGCGTTTCACCCAAACCGCAAGTCCCAAACGCGTCTTCTCGCGAGTATTCTCCAGCGGGTGACCGGCGATTAAAACGCATCACGTACATGCGTTGGGCGTATAATACTCAAAAAGCATTTACGAGATGCGTTTTAACGTATGCTAACGATATACGGATATCGCATTTGGGAATTGCGACGGCCGTATACAATACCAAAGACGCAATTCCCAAATGCGTCTTTGGTAAAGTATAAAAAATAAAAAAAATCTGGGACATGCCAAAAACGCATGTCCCAAACGTTTTTTTTTTCACATTTTAGTCCAAAAAAAAAGTGTCCTATTTTAGGAAATGAACCACCTCTTTGTCCTATTATAGTCTTTTTTCTCAATTTTACGAGTGGGTGGATTTGA